CAGGGATCTGTATGGGCTCAAAATGTGGTCATAAATATTTTGTACTTGTAAAAAAGATTTGTATGTGTAAAAAAGATTTGTGTGTGCGTAAAAAAGATTTGTATGTGTAAAAAGAATTTGTGTGTGCGTAAAAAAGATTTGTATGTGTAAAAAAGATTTGTGTGTGCGTAAAAAAGATTTGTATGTGCGTAAAAAAGATTTGTGTGTGTAAAAAAGATTTGTGTGTGCGAAAAAAGATTTGTGTGTGCGTAAAAAAGATTTGTATGTGTAAAAAAGATTTGTGTGTGCGTAAAAAAGATTTGTATGTGTAAAAAAGATTCGTGTGTGGACTTAGAAAAAAAACCCCTGCAAGTTACAAGTACGGATTTTGACCCTATTTTTCTTCCTTTCATCTGATTGGTCAATGTCATGTCAATCACAAATGTAACAATCCAATCAGAGAACAGATGGGTTTGGCTGTCAGAGGGGCGCTTTTTTGAACTGCAGGTCCTTGAAGGGTGATACAGTTTGAAGCTGGAGGATCGCTATATAAATATCCGATAGCAGCTAGGTCCCCTAACTTTCAGTAGCTGTTGAAAGGAAAAAGTTGTGGTATATCAGTGGTTAGAAATACCATTATTACTTTAGGATTAGTTTAACACAAAGTCAGAGCTGACCCAGGACCATTGCTGTGAGTCACAGTGCGCAGCATAAAAGTCCTTTCACATCGGACGCAGGATGTGCTGCTAATGCTAACTGCTAACTAAAAGCAAAGGATCCAGAATTTGTTACGCTGGCTGCTGGGCTCTGTGGGTTTTTGCAGCAGCTCTACCTGTATTAGATGCACCTGCTCCTTGTCTTTTCTATCTCTAACTTTATGTCCTCTACAAGAGTTTGGTTTTTTTGCTGGTTCTTCAAATGTTCAATAAAAACATGTATGCTAATTCATAACGAAGAAAGCTTTGTAATGAAGACTGTCATTTCCAAAACACTGCCCGCCCCCACCGTCCGCAGCGCTGTTGAAAAGGCTGTGGAAGTCCCTGTATTAAACACGTAGACCTGTGACACAAAAATCACCAAACTCGGACGACCACAGACTGTTTTCCTTCATGGTGATGAAGGAAAATGCTGGGTTGGCATGTAAAAGGGCATTTATTCCCTTCAAAGACCTGCAGTTCAAAAAAGCGCCCCTTTGACAGCCAAACCCATCTGTTCTCTGATTGGATTGTTACATTTGTGATTGACATGACATTGACCAATCAGATGAAAGGAAGAAAAATAGGGTCAAAATCCGTACTTGTTACTTGCAGGGTTTTTTTTTCTAAGTCCACACACAAATCTTTTTTACACATACAAATCTTTTTTACGCACACACAAATCTTTTTTACACATACAAATCTTTTTTACGCACACACAAATCTTTTTTACACATACAAATCTTTTTTACGCACACACAAATTCTTTTTTACACATACAAATCTTTTTACGCACACACAAATCTTTTTTACACACAAATCTTTTTTACGCACAAACAAATCTTTTTTACACATACAAATCTTTTTTACAAGTACAAAATATTTATGACAACATTTTGAGCCCATAAAAAATACTAGCGCTTGATGCAGTGTTTTGATTTTGTTGCCACGGGTACCCACAAAGCAATGCGCGAAAGTCACGTGGTCTGACGAAGAAGAAACCACGTCGCTCTCCATGCGAATACTTCTCGCGAGATTATGTTGCAGCAAGGTCCAGAAAATGGAAGGCTGTACTGTGGGTGCTAGCTAGATTGCCGAGCGACTCAAACCATAGCTGGAAAATATATAAATTACATCGAAGGTATGATTTCCGTGTCTGTGTACGGGCGTTCAGCATTTAATTCCGTAGTCGGTATCGCTAGTGAGACGTAGCGCTGCTGCGTAGAGTATTTATTAACAGGTGATTTAGAAGCTTAAGTTTAGCTTTAGCTACGCTAGCTGCAGAGAACAATGTCGTCGCCACCACATAGAAGACGCCTCTCTTTTACCTTTATGGAATAACTTGTGAGTGTTTGCGGGGTTTCAGGGCAAGGACGTTTCGTTTTCGGTTTTACAACTGAATTAGGTGTGGCAGTTAAATTAGTACGTGCTGTGGTTTCATTTGGAGTACAGAAACATTATGGACTTCCCAGCCACACTTTGCTGAGTTTTGCATAAACGTATCGCTCCTAGCAGGCCAGTTTTGTAATGTGAAGCATCAGTGAACACAGCAGCTGGTTGCACCGGGTAACATTAGCAGCAAGTAGAGCTCAGAAATTAACCACAGTGAGAAAATGAACTGTGAATTTCATCACCATAAACGTCTCTGCGAGTTGCATCTCATAAACTGTTAATGCAGACTTCAGCCGAGCTGAATTTTAAACTCAACAAAGTAATTTGTCTACGAAGCAAAACAGGGACACAGCACGTGTTTATAGACGTGCAGTGCTGTGAAAAGTGCAAACATCTTTTCCTTTACTGTGGCAGTATGGGAAGACTTAATACAAGTTAAATCCTCAAAAGTACAAAGGGTAACGTGATAAATTATACACATTAAACAACATTTCACCCCTCTTTTTATTACTGTATCCTACAGTTTGTTAAATTATATAGTTATTAATATGCAGTTTGTTTCTATTTAAAACTCCGAAAATGATTCAAAGATATTGTTAACATGATTGTGTGTTATGTGGTTTAATCTTACCTTATCTTAGCTTAAAGGTATCTGTAACCTTCCAACAAACCTACTTGAGCAAAAAGTACAGATTTTGCTACAAATTGTATTTAAGCTGAATTGTAAAATATCATTATTTCATGTACATTTTCCACATACACCCAATTCAGAAGTGGAAAACACTTAAATGCAGTGCAAAGAAAGCACTTGTACGGTGCTTGAGTAAATGTACTGACATCTTTGCACGTCAGATGGATTAAGCCCAATGTTGGCATTTGTTAAAAAATCAAATCCAGTTGTTTCACAATTAAACTATAGGTTGATTTGATTGGCTGACTGTAAGTTGTGAAGTCAGATTTATTTCTAAGCACATTTTAAAAACACTTGCTGACCAAAGTTCCAGAAAATGATGTGGTTATGGGATATGGGTAAGAGATTGAAAAAAGAAAACACAAAGTGAAAAAACATGATGAAAGCAGGACAGATAAAAAAAGTAACTCGGTCTGGTTTAAAGCCAAAGGAAATAAAGGGTTTTCAAAGGGGTTTTGAAAGTGTCTGATGTTGGAGAGATCCATGTAACTAAGTGTACAGTGAACAAATACTCATTTCAGGCATGAAATGCAGTCATGTGAAAAAGAAAGCGGACTCTATACAGTCCTGTGAAAAACTAAGTACTCCCTTAATGTTTTCATAAAAATTAAGAGGGTAAGGAGAAGCCAGGTGGTGCTAAAAAACATACACTTGATTAACTGATCATTATCATGTTAACACAGTACCAGAAGTGGATGTCCATGCAAAATCACTTTAAGGTCAGTGCTCAAAGAAATCCTAAATGTTGATTCTGTTCATCTGGATGTGAAAAACATTTCTTCACTCAGTGAAACGTATCTTCCACTGAAAACACTACAACTGTTTGGGATTTCTTCTGGGTTTGAACAGCGTGGCTTCCTTTGAATGTCAGCATTTCTTTCTTTTTTTTCTGGATGATTGAGCATACATCAAGACGTGCTCAAAGAAATGCTCAAGCAATGCCTGAAGAAGAAAAAAAAGAGCTACATCTCACACTCTAAAGGCCTCAATATGTTAAATGTTCATAACAGTACAATAAGAAATGACTTATTTGGAAGGGTTGCCAAGAGAAAGTCTCTTTTCTTTATAAAAGTCATGGCAGCAAAGCTTAGGTTTACAAAATTGCATTAGAACAAACTCCAAGACTATGCTGACATGTAAGCACAAATTCCTCATACCCACTGTGAATCACAGCAGTGGAGGGATGAGGATTTGGGGTTGTTTTGCAGCCATAGGACCTGGGGACCTTGCAGTCATTGACTCAACCATGAACTCTTCTATATACCACAATACCTCGACTCAAAATTGAGGCCTTCTGTTTGTCAGCAAAAAGTTGGCTGACATTGGGTCATGCAACAGGACAAGGACCCCAAACACACCAGCAAACCTACAACAGAATGGTTAAAAGAAATTCAGAAACATGGTGTTGCAATGGCCCGGTCAAAATCCAGACCTCAGTTTGACTGAAATGCTGTGGCGGTTCTTTAGGAGATCAGTACATTAAAGAATGCCTGTAAACCTGTGAACTTAAACATTGTAAAGAAGAGAGGTCTAAAGTTTCTCCACAATGATGTGAGAAACTGATAAAGTCATACAGAAAATTACTTCCACTAAATACAACTAAAGGTAGTTATATACACTATTAGGTCTTTTATTGAGTCATGGGAAAACTTTTACATGACTTTAACATTTTTCAATTCATAAATTGGTGACCCTCAGGGTTTGTTCAGACATACCCACAACAGTCATGGAGACCACTGTGCAAGTGAGCTTGGAAGTGTGTATACACATAAAAACAGTATTTGTGTTTAAGCAACATGTCATGCATTTTAATGTTACTACAAGGTGGACAAATATTGGTGAAGAGTGGTTTTCCCCACATGTTGTTGCTCCAAATCAAGATGCATGAATTTCAAGGAGATGGATGCATAAACACAATCTTGTAACTGCCTTTCTTTTAAGGCAACTGCATGAGGTTTAGACTTGTGTTAAAAATTATACATGAACATTGCATGGTGAGACTTTGTAAGGCTTCCACTGCTCACTTTCATAAATTAAGATGCAATCAGAGTATTGAGTAGGAGTTCATGTCAAAGAGGCCCATTAGCTGGCCAGGAGCTAAAGTTAATACAGGCTATCAGAAATCCTTTTAAATCCTCAGTGTTGAAACTGTTTGTGGTGCTAATGAATAAGCTATGTGATGTGGAGTTTATTGCAGTTCTCTTTCATTGCAAAGCAACAAATGGAATTGAGCTTTTTAACAAAATTGTTTTTTGCGTATATTTTTTAAATCACCTGTCTCTAATGTAGATTGGTTTGGGTTTTTTCTCCATCCATGATTTTTACAGGTTCACAGCAAGAAACATTGGGATGACTCTTTACACACCCTAAACACATTTGGTGTTTGCAGCTGTCTGCATACAGTTTGCACAGGTACGTGTTTTCTGTTTTATTTCTTGTTTAACTTAGTGAATTGTGAACATAGTTTACAGACACTAACTAAAAGGATCTTGTAGGTTTGAACAGCGTGGCTTCCTTTAAATGTCAGCATGGACATGATGGACAACAGCAGTGTTGCTGATGATAATAATAATTCAGGTACAATCAGCCTGCCAGTTGCCTAAAGGTGAAACGTGGGTGTTGCTTTTGTTAAATCAATTTCTTTCTGTTTATCTGCAGACGAACGGCAGATGCCCTCAGAAGAGGCCGAGTCAAGTGTTAGGCCGACCTTGTCACAGGTTAGAAAGTCTTGGGGGTTTCGACGAACAACCATTGCAAGAAGGGAGTTCATGGAGGAGGTTGGAGACCTAACCTACAGTCCTCCAATTGTTCGACGAGGCAGAAATCGTCGGACCAATCAAACAGCAGCCCAGACCGCTACAGAGACCCCCACCACCCAGAAAGCTACTCGTACAGCAAGGAGTGTTATTGATGAACTTCAGTGGTCTGCCCCATCCTCACCTGTCTCTGAGAATAGCAAAACGGGTTCAGAAACTTCCGCAGGAGGCAGCCTTGATCCCAGCTTATGGCAGGATTTTGGGTCTGCTTTCCACACTGCCTTCACACTGCTTGGGGGCAGTGAGGGCCTGTCACTAACAATGTCAGATGAACTGGCGGTTCCTGACATTTTAGAAGCCACTGAAGCCATTGAGTCTCCTAATCCACAGGCTATAGATGAAACTGAGATGGCTGATAACATTGATGACATGGAGATTGCACAGCCAGGTGCTTCTGGCAATGCAGAGGGAGAAGAGATCCATGATGTGGTTTTAATCTCAAGTCATGAAGAGGATAGTGATGAAATGACTTTGTTACAGATTAAGGAACAGCTGGCTTCTAATAGCAGACAGGAAGACTCCAAAGCTAGAGGAGGGAAAGGAGGAAAGGGAAAGGCCAGAGGAAAGGGGAGAGGTAGAGGAAGAGGTAGGGGCAAAGGTAGAGGGAGGGGTAGAGGAAAGGGGAGGGCTGTGGAGTTTCAGTCAACCATTGCAGATGATAAGGACAGTGATGATGATGTGGTGCTGGTTAATTTAACTGAGCAACAGCATTTACAAGAAGTGGAAAAAGAAACTGATCCACAAAGTCCTCCTGAAAAAGAGGGTTCGGCTGCTCTCTTTGATACAGCCCTAAGTCCTGCTCAGCAATCAAACTCAGACTGCATGATCATAGACAGTGACTTTGATCAGATTCCTGAGCTAACTCCTGGTCAGTTTGATGAAGTGCCAGAGGAGGAGGAGAAGAAAGATGCTAAAAATACAGAAGAGTTTTCAAGGATATCACACAATGAAGGATATGACTCAAATGCTCTGTTCTGCATCTGCAGACAGAAACAAGATAAGAGGTACATGTTTATATGTAGTAACTGGATTTCTTAGGCTGAGCTGTTCTTTCGGACGATTTGCATAGTTCAGCTGTGTACCATTTTTCACTTCCTATTATCTATTCACTGCTTTTTAAAGGTTTATGATCTGCTGTGACAGCTGCCAGGAGTGGTTCCACGGTGAATGCGTCGGTGTCAGTGAGACACAAGGCCATCAGAGTATGCAAGAGTACGTCTGCCCGCCTTGCACTATAAAGAAACAAAGCCAGTCTGAGTCTCACCCTCAGCCAGACCCTGAGCTTAGCTTTCCTGAATGCTTGACACAAAGTCCTGCTGTTGAAGAAGCACAAGAGGACCAGCGAGCAGTTAAGGTTTGAATTTAATTTGGGTTGTCATCAATCTTTACACTGCCCATCGCCTTCATTTACAAAACCTTTAGCATTTTCTTTCATTCCTGTGTGACCACATACGTGTGATAGATAATCTTCATGAAGAAAGTTTGCTCTCTGAATTTAAGATGAACATCTGTTTTCAGCAGACTGTGCTGGTAGAGGAGGAAACGGAGGAGGAGGAGCAAGAGCAGGCTATTGAAGCAAGGCCAGACCCTGATGCTCAACCTGAAGCTCAACCTGAGCCTGAGATGGATAGCTCTCTTCCCTTGTGCATCGGACCTGGTTGCTCTAAACAAGCACTACCAGATTCTGTTTACTGTGGCAATGACTGCATCCTTCAGCATGCTGCTTTCACTATGAAGACACTCTCTGGCCCTAAGGTGCCCAAATCCAAAGGACGGGCACAGAGAAAAGCTTCCATGTCAAGACCTGCTGCAAAGGTAAGAAAAATTAGCTTGCAGACTGAGAAGAGTATTGAGGTGTGTGGGTAATAGATTTTCATCTTGGGCTCATTTCTATAGTTTCAGGTAGTTAGTTTCAGCAACTGAAAAATCATATTTTTTCACCCTATGTAAACATTTCAATCATAGGCTCAAAGGTCAAGTCGGACATCAAAGAGGCTAGCAGAAAAAGCTGAGCTGCGAGGTGAGGAGGAGAAAAAGGAGGATGATGGTGAGCAGGAGGCGGCTGCATCTCCTGTCATCTGTGACCCCAGTCTCACAGAAGCTCAGGCTACCTCCACACCAGCATCAAACTTACACACAGCGTGTATGTATCATTCTATACTCACACACATTCAAGCAGTTTACACATCATGCACAAAGTGCCTGTTTTGGAATTACAGCTTTACCTTCCCCTTTTGAATCAGTATAATTCGCACGCACACACACATTTTTACTTATTCCCTGGTTCATAGCAGGGGTCAGCAGTGGGTAAGTATTTTCACTTTTATAATTCCCCTGTTCAGTTGCAGTAGCACAGATGTTCTCATGAAACAATCTTGACAAGTCAGAATGCCAGTCTTACCGAAGCACATGCATATAAAATCCGTGTCATAACAAAAATCCCTAAATGAGCAACACACAGCTGCGCTTGGTGACTGTGTTCAAACAATGCTTTGATCTTTGTCTAAACATTTTGCAAATGTAAAACTATATGAATGCAAGCTGGAACCAAGTTATTGTTGGGATGATCTCTATTTCTACAAACAAAATATCTATTGTGATGAAAAGGGCTCCTTAAGAAATACTATGTTAAATTGATGGACGAAACAGCACATAAAACGTACAGTAATGCTTAGCTCTAGCATGGTGCTCCCATATTCACAGCATTACTCATTATTTAATAATTTAAGCATTTTCGTGCATTCTGTTTTCATTATACTCTCTAAAATTCAACTATAACAAGTAGTAGCATCAGAAACTGAAAGTTTCCATTATAGATGTCTGGCCATGCAGTATAATGACGTTGTTATGAGATTTATTTTTTAGAATCACAATATATGATTCTGTAATTGATTGATGGTTACATATAAGGGAATATAAAGAAAAAATGCATACTCAATTTTAAAACTATGCAAGGGATTCATGTGAAATTTTGGCTCCAATGTCAGTTTAAAGTCACAAAATCAGTATATATTTCTGTTTTAATTTATTCCAACATTTTGCTAGTGTATAAAACATCTTTAGTTCTTTATATTCAGTTAGAAGATTGTTAGAAGACAAGTGCAATGGTCAATAAGTCATCTTACCAAAATCAGCATTCAACAAGACCGACGTCAACTTATAACAGTAATATGGTGCATTGCGACATACATTAAACACTACATTTCATATATATATTATTCCACACTATATATGACATTCCTTTAGGTCTTTGCCCAAAAGCTTGTTTTTATGAAAATTGATATGAGGCTTTCTTTTTTCAGTATGTTTTTTTCAGTATTGAATAATAATGAGAAACTTTATTTATGCAGAACTTTTTCTTAACAAGGTTAAGTCTTAGACAGACAGAAAGAAATTTTAAATGGATAAAAAAATACTCGTTCAAAACTAAATCAAAGTAATGAAAGGTTTTGGTTTCTGAAATAATTTAGCGCTAGTTATACAAGTTCTTCTTCTCAAATCAAATGCAGCCAACATATGATGGTGGATGTAAGGGTGGATTTTTTTTCTATTTAACAAGTTAGGATACACTCATCTAAAATTACATGCATGTTTTCCACTCCTGTAAAAAAGCAGACCTCTTTTCAAGACCGCTGTTCAAACACTGTATAGACCTGCTGCAGCTGTCCTGCTGCTGGTTTGACCGTAGATAACATTAAACATTCCGGTTTTTGGTATCCCTGGGTTTACATGTATTAAACTAAATCACCTGCACATCAAACCACATTAAACCATCAATCACACACTGCTCCACAATGCCACCAAGTACACTGGCTTTGTGAAGTCCTCATAATGATGTCTCAAGTGCCCAGATGGTATAATTTTCTCAAAGTTGATCGTCTGTTCAAAGAAGTGCCCTAATATTCCAGCCACCCTGTCATAAGGATGCATTTTGCTTTCAGACATTGGTCTGATTCCTCCAACATGCAGCATCTTCCTGGTTTATTTTGTGGGCAGTCAACATTGGAGCATAATCTACCCTTTGTGTTAAATACACATGCACAAGTTGAAAACCTCTCTGTCTCACTGTCACGCAACGTTTTGGGTATTTCAAGGAAAACTTTATTTTTCCAACTTCCAATGCCTTCAGTCGTCAACACACAAACAACCACAAGCACACACTCTTGGATCAGTCATTTCACAGACACACCACCCTTAAGTTGGATAGGATTTGGAATCAATAGAGACGCTGCAGCTGGTATGGAGGAGGAAGAGGAGGAGGGGACTGAAGGATTCATGAAGATTTTGAAGTGTCAGCTGGCCACTGTCAGCAAAAGGCTCCATTCCTCTGAGAAAAGTCTTCACACTGCTGCAAATGAAGAAAAAATACTTCACAATGCACGCGCGCACACACACACACACACACACACACACACACACACACACACACACACACACACACACA